TTTTCTATACATTTTGCACCTAGCAATAAAAAGGATAATCACCGCAGCTACGGAGTTCGTGTTCTTTTATTGATACTGTCTTTCAGCTGTCAACTGAGATTAGGAAGAAGGAAAGAATGAAAGAAAGAGAGAAGGGGGGGGGGGGCATATAATTAGAAGAATGGTAGCCTAGAGAGTCTAAAAATTGTACTTCTGAGACTAGAACATATATATTATAATAGGTTACTGGAGTTGTCGATGGGCCAAACAGAGAAGGCCCGTACTGAAAAGACAGATTTATGTCTCTGATGTATTTCTTTGGGAATCAAAAATAGATAGACTTAAGTGTCCCCGATTCATCAGTTATTGAATTCCTACCGGACAGGGAAGACTCTCGCAGAATGATAGTGAAGAAGTGGTTCAAACATGTATGTTTTATCTGGGCCGATGGAATTAAAGTACAGTAGGGGTTCAGGGTATACCGATAGGTAATGGGTGCACAACCTCGATTTTGGTTGTTTACGATGCTGTTGAATATCTTGTCACTAAGGAACAATGGGACTGGCTCAAAGAGTTGGAGCAGTGCTAGACACCAAATTTAGTGTCCTATGCAATCACGGAGGTGACCATGTGCAACTGTCAGGCAAAATTTCTAAAGCTAACATGATTAGGGCAACGAAAATCCTTTAAAAAAATTTAATATGAAAGAGACAGAATTCTTCTTCGATGCATTTGACAAAAGGCATGCAACAGAACCACTGCCTCTGATTATGTGCAGCAACATGGTGTACCTAAGACGTGGATCAGGCAGAGAAACAAAACGAGCAGCGATTAAACAGTTGCAGATATTGCGAGAACACCTCACATGTTACAAGAGGTTGAGAGGCTAGAGCGGGTAAGGGGAAAAAAAACTCAGAGTGGTCCAATCTGTGTGTCGCAGATACAAGAAAGGCCAATTCGGAAAGTTATGAACTAAATTAAAGGGGATAAATCACTGCATAGGTTCTGGAAGCTTAACAAACAGGTGCAAAGAAAGAATCGACCTATCACAATTGGAATTATATACACAGATACCGGTATACCCCTGACAACAGACATAGACAAAGGGGAAAATGTTGCCAACATGTATAGATTGGAAAGCTCTAATGTAGTTATTTGAAAAGAAAAGTGTACTTAATTTGACTACATTACATTTGTAGACTTTCCATGCTTATTTAGTTATCTAAATGGCACACCACAAGAAAAGCATGACAATCAAAAAAACCACATATATTAGTATTTAAAACTGACATGTTCTTACGCTGACCCAGAAAGATACAGAAGAAAGAGGTAGACGTAGGAGGACACAATAAACAAAATTCAAATCTGAGAAAAAGAAGACACAAACAATAGATTTCACAATTTATTGCCTGGCATATTTCGCTGTATCTCGCCAGGTGCATACTACAGTAACAATTACATAATTGAATCAAATAAGTGAATCCTTTTTAACTGAAGTACAATTTCAACAAGGATCAAACATGAATGCCTGTTTTTACCAGGGCAGCCGTAAAGACAGAACCATCTCTTTCTGAATACAGAGTTCCGGGCGCTGAACGAAATACAGTGAAATTTGCCAGGCAATAAATTGTGCACTCTATTGTTTGTGTCTTCTTTGTTCAAATTTACAACGTGGAAACATTGCTTTGATTTTCTGAAACTTTAAATCTACAATAATTGTCGCAGTCGAGGACTCGAACGTGTCCACATTAATTGACGATGGCGCCTCAATGCGGAAATAATCGTACTTCAAGCGTATAGCACTTTTTACAGTTTCTTTTTCCTGAATAGCAAACAAGCATTATCATTCAGCCTGATTCTACAAGTTAACAAGTATTGGGTGTTGTATAATTTTAAGACTTTTCGAAACTTTTCTACCAAATAAAACAAAAAAGAAAAAGGAAAACGCACCCTGGATCATCCAGAGCAATGCAACAGCACTAAAAATTAAATGTATTCGCAGAAAAAAAGAAATTGAAAATGTGTAAACGGAAATAATAACTCTCTGCACATATTTACAAAGCAGTTTTTAGGTTGTGATCAGCAATTTCTGTAGCGCTATCAATATTTTTGAAATTCGGTTAGAAACAGGATTTAAGAACACACACACAAACACACAAAGAAAAGACTAAAGTTTTCTCGTCAACGTAATTGAACATAAGTACCAGAAAATGTGTTGGGAAATAACGGCAGTCTATCAAGTAAGTGGTTTAGCAAAACAGGCGACTGGCATCATATTCCACATAAGCCGCAAAGCCTGAAGGGCGATTAATTATGTAATTAGCGCTACTTTTTCCTTCACTTTGCAAATATTTATAGTATAACGGTCAATTACCTGATAAAGTATGCAGAAATACTTTCACCATGATTAAGCAATTGTTTCATTGAGATATTTGCAGGATTGGACATTGCTGTATTCAAAGTTTATGTAAAACTAGCTGTGCCCAGCCACGCGTTGCTGTGGCCCCGAAAGGTGAAATGGAAAAGAAAGAAAGTAGCTCTCAACTAACAGTGTCTGTCATAACCCTCAACCCCCGTCCCTCTCCCCTCCACCTAGTCAAATCTCCCTCTCCGAAGGGACAAAAAAAAATCATCACTTGGCGAAATTATTAAAATAGAAATAGTTAAGACATGATAACTGTAAAATTATGTTTTAAACTCCCTCAGTTAACAGTGTCTGCCATCAACCTCTCCCCCTCCCCCTACTAATCATATCATCCTCGCCGAAGGATGGGAAAGTCATCATGTGACAAAATATTGTAACTGAACTGAGCTTTGCATCCGTGTCCACCCAGAGACAGATGGATAGCTTTAATGTGTAATGAGGAGTAAATGTGGCTAGTGTAACAGCTACCACATCACCCATCCAGCACCAGTACTACTGCTACCACTACCACCACCACCTTCAGAACAAAAACAAAAAACAGTCACTACTGTCTGTGCAGGTCGGTGTAGCCAGAGAGGTTAGCGCTGCATGATGTCGCCACGGACTGTTTAGTGTAATTAAGCTCCCAAAAAAAAACTACATTAATAGTCCGTTCTATACTCACAAATAGCGGAAATAAAACAAAACCCCCACCCGTCATCTCCCCTCTCCGAAGGGACGAATGTTAAATGACCTTGGCATCCGTGTCCACCCAAAGTAAACTGGACTGTAAGCCGTCTTAGTTACCAGCTTCTGTCATCTACAAATAGTGTATTATCGAGTAAAGCGTCGCGGGGAGGATAAATGGGACTTTACTGAAATCTGATGTCTTTGGGCGAATGGCCTAGCTGTAAATCCCAACACACATGCCAACAGCCCTCTTGACGGAAAAAGAAAAATTAGCACCCATTGGGTAATTGAACACCGGTCAACCATGTGAAGGGCGGAATACTTACAAATATACTACCTAAGACTGAAGAGTTTGTTTATGATATCGCAGCCTAGCTGTAAACCACAACACAACGGTCCAACCGCCCTCTTAAAGGCGAAGGAAGATTACCCGTGACATGACCAAAATCTCGTCCCTGCTATCACAGGCTAGCTGTAAACACGCAAATCGAGCGGAAAGAAGACGTATGTATCGCAGCCTAGCTGTAAACCACAACAAAACGTGCAAGGCGCTTAGTTGAAGGCAAAAAAAAAATTATCACCCAGCGGGGCATTGATCGCCAGCCACTCAGGTAACACGCAAAAAAGACAACTACGCTACCAAGGACTCAAGCATCTGCCCAATTATATCTCCCTCTCCGAATAATTAAAACATTATTATGTGGCGACATTGTTAAAATAGAAATAGTTAAGAAATGAGAAATGTAAAAAAATGTTTTAAGATCTCTCAGTTAACAGTGCCTGGCATCAACCCCCTTCGACACCCCCGGCCCTTATCCCACCCCTCTCGTTACAATCATATCATCCTCTACGAAGTATTGGGAAGTCAGCGCCTGACGAAATAATGTTGTTAAATTGAGTTTGGAATCAATGTGTCTACCCAGACAAAAATGGGTAGCATTAATCTGTACTGAGAAGTAAATGCGGCCAATGTAACAGCTACCACATCACCCATCGAGTACCAGTACTACTGCTACCACTACCATAACCACCGTCACAACAACAACAACACAAAACGGTAACTACTGTCTGTATAGGTCGTTGTAGCCAGAGAAGTTGGCGCCGCATGCTGTCGCCACGGACTGTTTAGGTTAAGTGTGTCCCCGACATAAAACTCCATCACCTAACAGGTGATGGAACTCACAGTAATAATCCGTGATATTTAAAAAAAATGTACACTATACTCACAAAAAGAGGAAATAAAAGCCCGCACTCTTCTCTTCCTCTCCGAAGTTACGTTGTTTAATTAACCTTGGCATCCGTGTCTACCCAAACCAAACTGGACCGCAAGCCTTCTTAGTTAACAGTTTCTGTCATTAACGGATAGTTTTTGATCGAGTGAAGCGTCGGGGAGGAGGGGGAGGCTAATGTGGACTGTACTTAAATCGGATGTCTTCGGGCGTAAGGCGCATATGTCGCAACTTAGCTGTAAACCACAACACAACGTGAAAATCGCCCCTTTGGGGTAAAAAGGAAAATTAGTACCCAGCGGGGAATCGAACACCCGTTATACACGTGAAGGGTGGATACATACAACTCTACAACCGAAGACTGAAGACTTTATGTCAGATATCGCAGCCTAGCTGTAAACCACAACACAACGTGCCAACCGCCCTCTCAAGGGCGAACGAATAATACCCGTGACACAAACATTGATCATCGCAGGCTAGCTGTAAACCCCAAAATCGAACGGAAAAAAAGCGTAGATACTGCAGCCTATCTTTAAACTACAACAAAACGTGGCAGCCACCCAGTTAGGAGCAAAAAAAAAATAATATGACCGAGCGGGGAATCGAACCCCTATCACCCGAGAAAAGAAGCGAAATGCTGACAACTAACTACACTACTGAATACTCAAGCACATTGTAGAAATAAAGGTATATTATAATAATGTAAAGGTCGGTGTTGCACAGTCAAAGGTGGTAAATTTACTACAAATAAATCAGGGCTGGCAACGTAACAAATAACGATTTGACCGTTGCTGGAGCTACATCGATCTTGGTTTGTGCAACATTATGACACGTATTTACGCTTGGAGTCACAAGCAACGTTGTGTAAAAATATGATAGCAATCGGATCAGTAGTTTCCGACATCGGAAAATTTAGATTTTTATTAATATAGATCATATGTTTCAGTAAATAATAACATGTAGAACTCCACAGGGGAACAGGTACAGCAGGAGTCCACCGATCATCAGTAGAAGGATCCCTAGTCGACGATTGTTTCAGCCCATTACTTCATTTACAATCTGGGACTGTGGGCCGACCTGGTTTACGACGAGAGGTACCGATCATTCCCTGCTGCTCTTTATCAGACTTTAAGACAGGGACAAGACGAAATGGTGACTTTGCAACACGTAACCTGAGATTTTGGTGTTATATATATTTGTCGCTGCGGTAGCAAATTATCCGACTACCTTCACGACCAGAGTGACAGGCTTACGATTGGTTTATCGAACGGGTGTTAGACTTTGGCCTTTGGCAGAGAAACACTGGCAGATATTATAGTTATAGCAGAGGCTGATCGTCTCTGTATGCATGCTAATACTTTTAGTAACTTTGTTTTAGGACGTAATGTTGCTCTGGGACAAGAGACAGCTCAAATTTCCAATTATAAAAACACGGATTCTACGTATGCTGTTGATGGTGATACTAATCCTGATTTTGCTGGTGAAAGCTGTACTCATACTAACGGGGATCAAAACCCTTACTGGAATCTGACGTTTGCATTGGCACACCAGGTCCAGAGATACGTCATCTATAACAGAAATTGTGAGTGACCTCAGCAACCTTTCTTGTATTAATCTGTAAATGTCGTTTATTATTATTTTTTTTTTTTTAGCTGCATATAAGTTAGCTGCATATCCTTGTATTCATTGGTTGTGCTGTTTAACACAACATCTCGTTCCTCGGTTTTCATGTTGAGAGCCTGATGTTAAAAACAACACAACTTTGTCTGCTACTAAATTGCCTCCAGTTTAATGCTAAAAGAAACACGCCATAGAATATTAAGTAATCATTCATTCATGGAAAAGGACTGTCGTTTCAAATGTATGTTTGATATGTGTGTCTATCTGTCTGCTCTCAGCTGTCTGCGGTATGTCTGTCTGTCTGCTATCTGAAGTCTGTCTGCTGTCCCTTTGTCTGCTATCTGCAGCCCGACTGTATGTATGTATGTAATTACGTTTGTACGCGCTTAGGAGGGGAAGTCAGTAAGTCACAAACTGTTGTTAAAATTAAAAAAAAAAATATCTATTTGAAAACCGTTTATTTTAACAATAAACTTTCACTTTTTTTTCATTATAATTTCTACAAACATTGATTAACCTTTTTCACTGTTTTATCAGTCCTCACAAACCTGCTGTATAGAGCTGCGTCCTCATAGGGGGTACCCAGACAATTGAGGGACGAACACAAAATGAACTTATTAGGCCTGTCTTTGCAGCATCTCTGTCGATAAGCAGAAAAATAAAAGACGAACCTGCATGCCCAATGTGTGACCCTTTGAAAATAATGTTCGTTCATTCGTTCGTTCGGATGAAGGAGAAGACATGCTGAACAGGGATATTACGGGGGGGGGGGGGGGGATGGGTGCATCACTACCATGTGAATGTAGAATAATACTATAAAGTTCTATCGGTGCTTTATGATGCAATTCGAAGAAAACGCCTAGGTCTGCAGACAAGAGGAGTATTCTTCCTTCATGACAATGACATACCACATACGGCTCGGGTAACTCATGAGAAAATTAACATCTAGGGTAGGAACTTCTGGAACATCCACCTCACAATCCCAACTTAGCCCCCAGCAATTTATACTTTTCTGTTCCATTGAAAACCAACCTTGGCGGGAGACATTTCGCGGAGGACGCAGAAGTTGAATGTGAAGTAAAAATATCCTTTAGAAAACCGAGCACGCAGTTCTTTGCGGCAAATTTGGGAGGAGTGACAAAATGATGGGACAAGAAATTATGTTTGAGCAAATTTAGGCCAATCATTGTTACATCTTTTCTTGGTGATGCAGTGTTTAATAATGTTTGACGGTTACAGCTGGAACAGCACTAGTCACGATTTCATCTGCAGTCTAAATTTTAATCATTTTGAATAATTCTAATGTCTTTCTATCCTCCAATGGAGCAAAGGCCTTCAACGTACTCACGCCAAGTCGTTTCATCCTTCGCTGTTGTATGCAGCTTTCGCCATGTCCTTACCGGTTTTTTTTTTAAACTTCCTTGTCTAGCTCTTTTCTACATGTGTTCTTTGGTCTTACTTTATTCCGATGTCCCTGTAGGTTCCAGTGCAGAGACATTCTAGTTATACTGTTCCCAAGTTTTCTCAGTGTGTGTAATATCCAACGCCAACGTCTTTTCTTCATCCCTAGGTCAACTGCAGCATTTTAGTTCTTTCCCAAAGCTCTACATTTTTGATTCTATCATACCATTCTCTATTCTCTATTCTGCTCAGTCATCAGTTTCCGAATATTTATAGTTTATTAGTAATTGCCTTAGTCCTTTTCCATCTTTCTGCTCCATACAACAGTACTGATTTGACATTATACACATTTTTATGTTAAGTGTCAGTTTTAATTTGTTTTGGCCCACAAATCCTCTAGTGCTGTGAAAGTTCCTCTTGCCTTGTGTATTTCTATTTTAATATCTGTCAATTCTCCAGCCCTCCCCCCCCCCCAAACGCCTTTTCCCCACAGTATCTACATTATTGCCCAAGTAGATGTACGACTTCACGCCTTGGAGTGGGACACCATTAGGAGAAACCACATTACTATTTGCCTGTTTTATTCTTATTATCTTTGCCTTTCCCTTATGGATTTTCAGATCTAGCTGCTGTGATCGCGCATCTAGAATTTTTAAGTTATCTTGCATCTAATTTCCTGTATGGGACAAAAAAGAAATATTTTCAGCAAAGTCTAGATTATGAAGCTGATTTTTAGGGGTCCGCTGAATTGCTTTCTTGGTATTAGCAGTTGCTGTCTGCAAGGTCCAGTCTATTGCCAGTAAGAATAGGAAAGACTACAAAAGACATCTCCGTTGCACACCTGTTTTTTTTTTTTTTTTTTTTTGGGGGGGGGGGGGATTTCATTTGTCTTTTGGCTTTCCCTCATAACGAATTGGATATTTCCTGTCTTTATATGTTGTCTTTACTAAGTTAATACTTTTCTGTCGGATTCCATATACCCCCATTTATTTTCAGAGAGTTTCCCTAACAATGCTGTGAAAAGTTTTATTTTTTTTTTATAGTCTATGAATCCAATGTGATCTGTCTGGCCGAAAACCTGCCTTTTCATTTCTTTGCTTTTTTTTTTTAATTAATGTGACTTGCTGGTACATTAAACGATTGGATCTTGCGTTTCAGCTGCGATATGAGTACGGATCAATACTCTAGAACTTTGCTTGTCTTAGATGTTGTGCATCTGTCGTACTAAAGTGCTTTTGTGAACTGTGTATCTAGTGGAAATTAAATCACTCATCACGTGTTCTGTTAGATTTTTTTTTTTTATTTTCCAGTGATTACTGTCATTTTGGCCACATCTTTTAAAATCGTATTACCTTAGATGTGTATCTGCATATATGTCTGATAGACAGAAGGAAGGTGTTAGAAACTAAGGGCGTGCGTATGTGTTGTTTAGTGTAAGATGCCACAAAAAGAGCCCTAGACGAATCAAAAGTACGAGATGGACAGATAACATTAGAACAGTTCTGCAGCAGTGTGAAGTGTCTGTGATAACAAGAACTAATCCATTTTATTGTTTCCCTACGTCGGTGGTGGTGAGGGAGGAGTGGAGAACAGAAATATACTCTCAGAAATGTTGCCATGTTTGTTAGAAACATTTTTGAATGTTTTAGCATATTAGTTATGTTTTTTTTTTTAACTGTTTATGTTGATTTAAAAAAGATTTCCACTCGCATTAAAAAAAATATTGTATGATGTTTAAAACAATATACTGTGTAAATTGAATATGGTATAAGTACTAATGTTTTTTAACAAAAATTTTTCAGCTGACAAAATAAGACTCCGGGGGTTTTCTCTGGAGGCGTATCAAAACAACAGTGTTGCATTTAATTATACCGACCCTACAAACACAGACCATGACAAGTACAGAATCCAGTCTACTGTTCCGCAGACACCGATGTCTAGTGTCACAATTGTTGGTCGATTTAATAGCCAGCCATACTTGACACTGTGTGAGGTAGAGATGTTTGGAGGTAACAATGATATATGTGTGTTTGTGTGTGTGTGTTTTCATTTAATGTTTTTAAATTGTGTACAGTTTATGTGTTTAGCTTGTTATATAAGCACTTGTCGGCTCTGTGGCTAAGTCGATGCGAACGCTACGTAATGCCGGGATGCCGGGTTAGATCCTAGCTGCGGGCCACGTGCCTTGCGTTGGTTTCGACAGTGGTATCCAAAAAGCCGACAGTCCAGCAGGAATGGCAAACTACTGGACGTAAATTTGCCTAGAAAAACCACACAACAGCCAGGGGCAACTAACCTTACAGTTAATGTGAAACACACTCACTTTCATCCAACATCGATGCAATACCTAAATATAGTTTCATCAACAGTCAAATTGTTTCCATCTAATGTCAGTGTCGGACTCAACTGTTTCCATCTTTAGTAAGCGTCAATTTCTTTTTTTACAATTCAGTTACAGTCAGTATGGAACTTATTAGTGTGTAGATATAATTGATGGATTCCCACATCATACAACTATAGAAACGCTGTCGTTTGAAAAGGGCTAATATTTAAAAATGTTCACTTTGCTTTCTTCGCTGCTTGATTATGTTTCAGTTACATTGCTGCATGGTACTTATATTGCATTACTGTCTAAATAATACAAAGAACAAATGTAGGGTCCATGTTTCGTCGACCAAGTGTCGTTCTGATTACTTTCTACACTAGCTAGCTTAAAAAATCAAGTAGAAGCATCATCTGGACTCATTGCATAATTCGCCAGTGCACGTGAAATCGTCATCTAGGCTTAAACATTTTGAAACGGAAATCAACCAGGGAATCAGCTGTCGCACATCGATTCATAGCGAAAGGAGCTCATCGCCACGTTAACCATGTGCATTATTATGACCCCAACAATTATCACCATTACTGCACGTGCATTTTAAACCTTCTAAAAGCCTATGCCACTCTCTCTCTCTCTCTCTCTCTCTCTCTCTCTCTCTCTCTCTCTCTCTCTCTCTCTCTCTCTCTCTCTCTCTCTCTCTCTCTCTCCCCCCTAAAAATATATGCGAGGCTCTTTGTTTTCAAACAGTGTTAATTCACCTTTGTAATAAAACCACATCCACTCTTTTTTTCCATCTCATCAAAGATCCTTCTGTATATATAAAGATGTCTCATGCAAGTGAATGTTTATTAATCAGCTATTACACCGATGCCTCTGTATCAGAACAATGATACATATTCAGTCTGGGTCGACCTGTTCGCTAATGTCAGTTATGAACAATATATATAAATAGCTTCGATGTGTGCACTAAATGTCCTTCCGTTTACTTTTCAAGGCATTTCTTGGTACGCAATTTCATCAGCGTTAGTCGATTTTGAAGCAGCTCGATGAGAAAACAAACATCGTCTCAGTGAGTATTCCATCGCAAACCTTGGTGCAGCTTTGCAAGTCTGGTAGACACAGCTGCTTCCCTGTGTCGGCTAACTCATGTTGATACACTGACATTTAGACGGACATTACAGATGTAAAAGTCAAGGACCCTTTTTGATACCTGCGGTGCATATTTTATATGATGCTAGATTCATGTTTTGTTTCTAACAAGACCAACCAGCTCTTGATGGGTAATGTCGCAAAAATAGGGCAGACTTTACTTCCCAAGACATTACATAATACTAATTTTATGCTGTGTCATGTTTGGAAGAAAATATTCAAACTTGATTCGGAATTGAACCTGAGACCTACAAGTAGGTAGATGAAATGTCAAGCCACTACACTGCCGCAATAATAATGAGTATATACAAACACAAACACGCATACGCATAGGGTGTTTGTAAGTTTATAAAATAGTACCTAATGCCTCCAACAGACGCAGTGTGTCCAGCAGGACTGTACGGAAGAGAATGTGAGAACAGATGTAACTGCGCTAAGGATGGAGAAAACTGTTTTGTCAGTACTGGAGGATGTCCTTCAGGTTGTGCTGCAGGCTACCACTGGGAAGGATGTAGAAAAAGTGAGGTTGAATATTTATCCCTTCGTGTTTATGTGTATTTTTTTTTCCAAACTATCCCTGTATTCACTTCCTGGTATGCAGCCAGAATCTGTATTTAGTAGTAGATATATTTTCTGACTTACCACTGAGACAAAAGACAAGCATAATGGATCCACGCCTAATTGAGATATAGGAACATTAACGAGAGGCTAGAGACGGTGACCAACAGTAAAAGGGATGGGACTTTTTTTCTACGCCTTCAGGCGTATTGAGCATAAAAGGCTAGCACCTACAATTTATATACCAATCGGAACGTGGTGGGTGACGTGGTCAGCCTTCCGCCGGCCGCCTTTACTTCCCAGGACTGATCAAACAGCACAGCGCTAAATTTACTAGCAACCAGGTGGCAGTCATAATAAATAGAACCTGCCAATCGTAGATCTAAGTACTGGAATACATCAGTTTATAGCGACATAGTGAGTTAAAAGTCGTCGTTGAAGCTGTTTTGTTGAAGTTCAAGACTAAATATCTGCAAATGTTGAGTGTAGTGCGAAGAATAAATACTTTAAAATATTTTTATTTTATTTGACTAATTGATAACTTTTTAACCCTCATTATCCTTAATAGTCGATATTTACACTTTCGGGGAAAAAAAATAACTTATTTCTTTATCATCAAACAGGATGTGACGAGAGGTACTTCGGAATTGATTGCTCACAGCAATGCAGCACAAACTGCACAAACCAACATTGCCGACCAACTGACGGAACCTGCTTTTCTTGTATAGTGGGGAAACAAGGACCAATGTGTGACGCAGGTAAATATCCACATACGTACGTACATATATACATACATAGCTGCGTATATACAAACATTATATATATATATATATATATATATATATATATATATATATATATATATATATATATATATATATATATTCATTATTAATATATACATAAATACCACAAATTCGTTCCTATAGACAAACAGACAGACAGACTGGGAGGAGCCTCTGCTTTTGTTTTCTCGCCACAGACGAAGTTCATCGAAATTAATCTTCTTGTAGAAAGCTGGTTTTTGTCCTGACAAGTATCCCAAAAAATAAGTGAGATTGTAAGAGATGAGCGACAGCTTCTGTGAACATAACGATAGTGTTGTTGATTGTTTGCTTGGCAAGTAGTGTGACCATGTTTGTCGAAACCATCTAAAGTACTTTTCGACTGTTGTAATTAATCTTCTTTCTTCTATCGATACAGTACATGCTAAATAGGAACAGGGAAAAGTGATTTAAAGCAGCCTGAGAAGCTATTATTACGTGTACAATTTGATCTTTTTTGTGCAAATATTTATGGAAGAAATTATAACTGTTAATTTAAATATGTTTCTTTTGTTTTTCCACGCACTCAATTTACATTACCCGATTCGCAGTCGTCAAGCAAAATAAAATAAAAATATTCTTCAGAATCTCAACATACAAGAAAGGTGTCTCATAAACAGTATTCTGATTCGAAGACTGTCGGCTTTGGCCCATTAAACTTCACAGTGACTTTATCACACATTAGTAAATGGCTGAGATATCCCGTCATAGAATAAGCACTGGCAGACAAATGTAAAGGTGGATTGTAATTAGTGAGGTGTAATATCAAAGCACTCCAGACAGCACCGTAGCGGCTCAGTACTTTTCAATAGCTCAACAACCTTAAAACTATTGATCACACCTGTTTAATGTACATTTGGTGAAATAATCCTTTCTTGCAGTGGATATAGAACATTAGTGACACGCTAAAAAAAAAAAAATTATACGATGTAACTAATATGTCAACAATTGTATTGACATTTCTTTCGAGCAATGATGATAACAGCTATCAGCAAAAGAACCTACCTATGACGTGCTTAGAAGTTTGACTCTGGGACCTAATGGTCTTGTTCCAAACCGCGTCGAAGAAGATCGGTTTTTCTATTCGACCTTGGCTCCTATACGTCGACTCTTTTTGAAACTGGCTACCTTTGGATGTCCTGGCACGACGGTCAGCTGGCATGAAGCTGATAATGTCCCTTTTCCACGGCCTGGGCGTCTTTGAAAATTTAGATGGAGAATAACATACTCTTTGTACCATTGGCGTGCAAAGGCGATTCTTTGTTTACTGCTATTACCGTACAGTATAACAGATAGCTCACATCAGAAAGAGACAGTCTACATTCTTTAGCCATACAATTAGTAGAACAAAACTGGAGTACATCGCAACAGTAGGAACGTTGGAGACAAGGAGAGGCAGAGGGAGGCCGAGAGAAAATTCTGGTCAGTTTGACATCACGGCCTGGATGATCGTCTGTGTCAAAGGTGACTGAAAGTACAAGAGCCAGAAGGTTGTGGATAGACATGACTACCAACGTCACACAGCTTGGACTTTAAAAAGAATATGACAGATTTGTTTCTTATTAATGCACCTTGAAAAACTTACTTCCTCTTTTCATGTGTAGACTGTACTGCTACATTATGGGGAGACAACTGCACTATGTCATGCAGTGCTGACTGTAAGGACCAGTTGTGCAACGCTGTTAACGGAACCTGCTTCTCTTGTGTTGCTGGCAAATCTGGGGAGAACTGCAGTGAAGGTATCTTTATTATCTTCCCCTCTAGTCAGCTTCACGCACAAACACATACACATAAATACACACAATCAAAAGTGACGAAATTAACACTGCGGCTAGGCATTCAACAACATACAACAACATGGACAATAATATCTACACAAACAAATGACATGGTGGTAAAATGTCGAAATCCACTCCTGGTCAAAATATAGGTCCACGCTGGAGAACAGAAAATCGATAACATTGTCCGCTTTGGATACAAAGGACATGTTATCGTTATTCTAGTCGCAGCATGATAATAGATGTGAAATGATACAGATATAGTTCGTTTGACATTTCATAATCACATTTGCAAGTCATTTTCTCTAAAACTGCCTGTTAGATCGCAACAATGTTTTTGCATGCATCCTCAGAAAATCCATGACACAAAAATAATGATATTCTTCAGTCAATAGCTGCTAAAGATGTTGAATAGCAGCCAGTTCGTTTGCTCTTTTCGAACCATTATGAAAACAAATGGAGTGGACTTTTAGATTATACAGTAAAAATCTGAATTTCCGTTTATTTTTTTTTTTTTTTTTCCAGAGGCGTGTTTTCATAATACATTGAGAAGTAAATTCATTTGTTGTAATTTATGTTTAACTGAGCTGAGTTAACCTGAGTCAAGAAAGACATCACAGCACTCGGGACACTCCCATATGCGATCCATCCCTATCTTCAACAGCCAGTGCAGAGTTCCAATAATAATCAGACGCAGTCTGATTGTATGTCCCGCTTGCCATTCCTCTGAGCGTAGCGTGCCAGCCAGGCCCTCTGGTCACTTCCAGGTGTATCCTTCTCTCTAGGCTACGATAATCTATTTTCTCTTCTGCCTTCATTACTTGTTCACAAAGGGCCTTGGTACCATTTGCCTTGTCATGTATCAATTCAGCACACAGTGACGCAGATTCAGCCAATCTGTCTGCCTTGTTCAATTTTAAACGTGTCCCCAATATGCAACAGTTAGTTTTCCCTTTCGGTCACCGTTAAACCCCATGGTGTATCTTACATGTACAGCAAACTGTATTATGGTTGACACATTTGGATGTGGAGATGTATTTTTTGCTGTTGTTGCAATTGTAGATAACCTAACGTGTTGATAATATTCAACTACTTATCGAAAAAAAAAAGATTTTAATCACTTCGAATCTGACGATCCCAAAAGGTTGATAATTGTTACTGGCTGAACAAATTGTAATCCATCTCGGTGCCAGTACTCGTCTTCCTTTCGGAGCACATGTTCAACACACTTTTTCCAGAAATGAATGTATTTTTCCTTCTTCTTCATATTTCCGCCATTGATGATGGTATATACACTAGAGGATCCTCCTGTAGCCGCCATAGTGGGACCAGTGATCGCCTTCGCTGTACTGGTCGCATTGATTGTTATTGGTGTGATTTTCTGGAGGTAAGTAAATGCGTAAATGTTTCAAGGTATGAAGCTCTGTGTTATTTTAATTGAATGTTATAATACATGGCTCGGTATTTCTTTGCAGAACGGCTACTTGTTTGCCGAGAACAAGCATAACAGCATAAACGTATTTCCAGCGACGACCCTCTAGGATCTAGAAATAAATTTCACCCATGAACCGAACGACGCAATTTGAAAACGCACCTTCCATGAAGGTGAAGGTAAAGTCGGGAGATGTGAACCAGCGTCATTGCACAAGGTTATAAACTATAAGTGCTCTGCCACCAGTACAGACAGCTGATAAGAAACTGTCCGCCTGTGTCGCCGCCCGCTCGTAGCTCCGTAGCTACAGCGACGTTACTCCATTCACCCCAGAGTGTCAACTCTCGTACCAATTTCCTAGAGGCTGAGTGAACCCCGGGAACCGCCCGGTTTCGAACACCGAGTGTGGCTGCAGCGAGTCGCAACTGGATTTGAAGGCGAATGCGCTAACGCGGCTCTTTTAAACGCATGATCTTTTAGGCAGGGATAGACCCGAGGCCCAGTCCAGGTTCTCTCTCTCTCTCTCTCTCTCACCCCTTCTCTCACTCTCTTTCTCCCTCTCTCTCTCTCTCTCTCTCTCTCTCTCTCTCTCTCTCTTTCTCTGTCTGTGTGTGTGTTAAATCTCCGTATCCGGATGGATGGAATAGATGATAATCACGCATGTAACAAGCTCTGACGAGTGAATGGGAGAGAAGTGATATGGAAAATAAAAGCTGTGGTTGCAAAACATATCATGGGATATGAAGACTAGGTGTGAAATGGCTGGGGACATATATTTATTGGAAAAAAGTCATAGCATATTCACAGTAGACTGTCATATCTATGTCTCATATGTTAACCATGTCAACACAACTTGCAAGCCAGTCACTGAGCAATAAATCAAAGAGTTCAGAATACTAAGAAGTAGGAAAACAGTTTGTGTTTTATGTGTGTTCAATACTTACAACAGTTATCACAACTGATTTGCTACAAAACATGAAACCTAAGACCATATTCGTTTGCTATTTTTAATTCATTTAAAATAGTTTCCTAATGTTGTTTCCCCCTGAGGTTTATCCGTTGGTTACGTATACCTACACTTAATATTTCTCCTACGATTAAGACACATAATCTTTTTGCGTCATCGCTTTAATTTCAAATAAAATAAAATCAAAAAAGCTTAATTGTTAGTCCAAGAGCTGATTGCTTGAATCCTAGATTCAGATTAGTTGTTTAAAGCAACTTCGACCTAATAGGGGACGCAATTTTTTTTAACCCCACCCGGGTGTCGTCGGAGCTCTAAAATAACCTGAAGGTGGAAGGGAGCTTTCTGGGACCTGCACCAGATTTTCTTATCCCAATGGTGGCCCTGTGTGTCAACGGCTGTTAATAGCTCGTGGTGCGGTCCTGGTGGGGCTGAACGCCCCTTGTTAGTTTGTTCTTGTAGCGAAACAATTTTAATGACTAATTAAATTTTCCAAGATGATATCATTACAACCTACTAACATATTATATATGACTTCTGGTTCTGACATTGATAGGGAATGGATGACGGTTGCAAACTTGGCTTATGTTGACCGTTCTCGTCGCCGTTTCTACTCCAGTTTCGATGTTCCAAGATTGTGGAAGTCCGGTTTGCACCCGGAGCTACTGAGTTTAGTGCTCCTGGCGGCACTATGAGCTGTGATTATCGGTTACTGACTGAGTTCCAGATTCGTACATAATGCCATTATTAATGACAATGATGGGTGATGTATTTTTCTTCGTTGTGTTTCTGGGACAAGGTGTGTGATATAGCTGCTTTTTATGTGCTGGCCATGGCTGCAACTTGGCGGAGGACGTGTGGAGAATGGTCAGGAATAGTTTTAATCTACTTATAGCCAAGCGATTCGTCGAATGTAGTTGTCTTTCAGCGATGACGCCTGGTCTCGCAGTGTGTTTAAGGAGGCATGCCCCTTATGGTTTGCCAGATCAAATCGTATGTGTTTTGCTGACTGAGGACACTTTGTAAGGCTACGGTATTCACTTGAAGAATCCAGCGTTTCTGACTCAGTTTGTGACAAGGAATCACTGGCATAGGCGGTTGAACAAATATGAGCCAAGCTCGTTTGCTGTGATGCCGGAACTGTAACGACTAACTAACTAACTAGCTAACCTATTCTATTATTGTCTAGGAGACGTAGACATAAAAAAGACGGTTCCGGGCAAGCAGCTCCACATGGATTCACCAAGAATGCTGAAATAGACAGTATAGGAATTGGGGAAACAAGCTTCTCTAAAAAGAAGTCAAACAAAGCTTTTACTGGAAAAGTCAAACCTCCAGGTGGGTAATATAAAGTGTACATGTTACTAATTAGCCATTAGCGATAAGGAAGGACTGTCTGTACTCCACATATGGCATAAATATATAGTTCCGATGTCTACCTCATTAGCTTCAAACCGTTAACAGATTGATGCCGCTGGTTCTGAATTAAATGCCGAAAATAACATAAAATATGACAAAAATATCTCAACGGAGGAAGTGGAAAACACCAAACTCTTTTTCAACGGAGGTAGTACTAAATACAGCAGAAACTCTGCGAACAAGACAAGAAGAGTATTCTAGTTATCCTGTATGATTAATCCTGTTCTCTTAGTAAAGTTTTCAAGTTTGACAGATCAAGGCTCCACTAGTATATCCGACAACCTAGGTTAAGAGACCAATCCCTGTCTGCTGTAGTGATCGTCTTCGCGTGTTGTATCTTAAACGACATAACCAATAGCCCTCCTGCAGTGTATAAAAAAAAATGTTTATCACTTATTTACTATATTCATGAAATATATATAAACTGCAAACTTATTTCATAAAGATTGATTTGTGTGTTGGCAAACTGAGTCAGGCATAATGTTTTGCTGGCTTTAGGTGCAGTTACAGTGTTCTAGTATCATAAAAAAATATTGGGATTTTTCCCTCAATCTTTCACCCTCTCTATCTCTCTCTCTGTGTGTATGTGTGTGTGTGTGTCTGTGTGTGTGTGTGTGTGTCTGTGTGTGTGTGTCTCTCTCGTGTTACCTCGTGTATCTCACGTGTTTATTCCCCACTTTGATCCATCTTTCTAGACTATCTCCTTCCTGCAGAGTAATTTTGTACATATTTAAGGTGGCAAGTATTTTGTGTGTGTGCGTGTGTGTTTGTGTGTGTGAGTGTGTGTGTGTGCCGGTGTGGTTAATGTAGTTTTAACTCATAGGTATTTTATTGCTGCTGCTGTTGTTTTTTTTTGTTTTTTTTTAACAATTTCTTACAGCTAACGCAGATACATAAATGTTAATGGTTTATTACCATTTATTCAAGGTTTTACACGCTTTTACCATAATTTTTTTTTTCTGATTTAATTAAATGAAATTGTATTTTCTCGGTCTGAAGCCAGTATAAAAGATGACATGTCTTCTCGGTCTAAAGCCAATATAAAAGATGACATGTCTTCTCTGTCTAAAGCCAATATAAAAGATGACATGTCTTCTCTGTCTAAAGCCAATATAAAAGATGACATGTCTTTTCGGTCTAAAGCCAGTATAAAAGATGACATGTCTTCTCGGTCTAAAGCCAGTATAAAAGATGACATGTCTTCTCGGTCTAAAGCCAGTATAAAATATGACATGTCTTCTCTGTCTAAAGCCAGTATAAAAGATGACATGTCTTCTCTGTCTAAAGCCAGTATAAAAGATGACATGTCTTCTCTGTCTAAAGCCAGTATAAAAGATGACATGTCTTCTCTGTCTAAAGCCAGTATAAAAGATGACATGCCTTCTCGGTCTAAAGCCAGTATAAAATATGACATATCTTCTCGGTCTGAAGCCAGTATAAAAGATGACATGTCTTCTCGGTCTGAAGCCAGTATAAAAGATGACATGTCTTTTTGGTCTAAAGCCAGTATAAAAGATGACATGTCTTCTCGGTCTAAAGCCAGTGTATCAGATGACATGTCTTCTCGGTCTAAAGCCAGTATAAAAGATGACATGTCTTTTTGGTCTAAAGCCAGTATAAAATATGACATGTCTTCTCGGTCTGAAACCAGTATTAAAGATGACATGTCATTTTGGTCTAAAGCCAGTATAAAATATGACATGTCTTCTCGGTCTGAAACCAGTATAAAAGATGACATGTCTTTTTAGTCTAAAGCGAGTATTAAAGATGACATGTCTTCTCGGTCTGAAACCAGTATAAAATATGACATGTCTTCTCGGTCTGAAACAAGTATAAAATATGACATGTCTTCTCGGTCTAAAGCCAGTATAAAAGATGACATGTCTTTTTGGTCTAAAGCCAGTATAAAATATGACATGTCTTCTCGGTCTGAAACCAGTATTAAAGATGACATGTCTTTTCGGTCTAAAGCCAGTATAAAATATAACATGTCTTCTCGGTCTAAAGCCAGTATTAAAGATGACATGTCTTCTCTGTCTAAAGCCAGTATAAAAGATGACATGTCTTCTCGGTCTGAAACCAGTATTAAAGATGACATGTCTTTTTGGTCTAAAGCCAGAATAAAATATGACATGTCTTCTCGGTCTGAAACCAGTATAAAAGATGACATGTCTTTTTAGTCTAAAGCGAGTATTAAAGATGACATGTCTGCTGGTCTGAAACCAGTATAAAATATGACATGTCTTCTCGGTCTGAAACCAGTATAAAATATGACATGTCTTCTCGGTCTAAAGCCAGTGTATAAGATGACATGTCTTCTCGGTCTAAAGCCAGTATAAAAGATGACATGTCTTTTCGGTCTAAAGCCAGTATAAAATATAACATGTCTTCTCGGTCTGAAACCAGTATTAAAGATGACATGTCTTTTCGGTCTAAAGCCAGTATAAAATATAACATGTCTTCTCGGTCTAAAGCCAGTATAAAAGATGACATGTCTTCTCTGTCTAAAGCCAATATAAAAGATGACATGTCTTCTCGGTCTAAAGCCAGTATAAAAGATGACATGTCTTCTCGGTCTGAAACCAGTATAAAAGATGACATGTCTTCTCGGTCTAAAGCCAGTATAAAATATGACATGTCTTCTCGGTCTAAAGCCAGTATAAAAGATGACATGTCTTCTCGGTCTGAAGCCAGTATAAAAGATGACCTGTCTTCTTGCTCTGAAGCTAGTATTAAAGATTATATCTCTTTTCAGTGTGAAGCCTGTGTAAAAGATGACAATCTAGTCAGTAACTTATAAGTTCATTATTTGTATTAGATCAGCGGATCATAAATGGCCGCGACCCGACTAATCTCCAAAAATAGTTTTTAAAAAAATCAGGTTTAGTCACTTCAATCCCGGACATAGAGGTTCACTGCAACAAGTTTAATAATTTCATGACCGTTCGAAAAAGGAGAGATAGGGAAACATGTCTCACTTAACTTTAAATACACGAGAAAGAACACACATTTTATTACGAATATAAATGCCCAAAAAGAGCTCTAGTTTCCGTGGGAAGAAACAAAAATAACATCAATCAATACTGAAAAAGACCGAATGTCCACACCCAAAGACCCCACTCGCCCGAGTGTTGGGACAAAACTGATAACGATATGCCTGATGCAGGACGTAAAATTCTGTCGGGCTAACGGCTCGTCAAAGAAATTTAACGTGCGAGAAAAAAAAATGTACCTATCTGTGTGGTCACAAAAGTCCAAAACCCACGGGCTGCTCCCGCTGACTTCCAGAGGGCGCAGCCCCTGCCGAGCGGGAGGCCTGATACGGTTGTGAGGTTAAGCAGGCATGTGCAGGACGTGACGATTCCTTGGGTGAGCCCAGAACCAGAGCGCCATGTGCCGGCTTTGCATGCATGGAAGCCTCCTTGGATGGCGGGGAATGCCCATGATCTGCCCCTGCCTTCCCTTGAGGGCTAACTGTTCCACAGGGGGCTGCCCCAAAGGGGTACTCCGAGGGCAATACCTGCGGCGAAGGGGACAAAGTGGACACCACACAAATCAGGCAACGTCACGAGCCACACAAAACTATGGCCACAGTCAACCTAGAAATAGGCCTGACGTCTTCCCTCGAAGTCGGAGTACAGCTGCCCATGAGGCAGGGAAATAAAAAACGGTTGTACACGCAAAAATCAGGTCCAGGTGAAAGCCAAAAGTCCAAGCGGACGATTAACCGGGACCTTCCACTGGAATTCACAGCCGGTGATCGATAATAATAATAATAATCAATCAATACCTTACCCGGAGCTAAAGAAGTAAACAGTAAATAAATGTAGTACTACTTTCATGCTAATAAGTGGCCACGTAGTTTGAAGGTTAAAGGCTCGCATGCGGCTAGCAAGGTCGTGTGCTCGGGTCCTGACAGAGCGTGCTGTTCTTATAAAATGACCTTTACTCCCAGGCCGACCCAGCCTTGAGTAGGTTCCAGGTGAAGTAATGGGAAGTAAAAGCATGATTCTGATCATATCACCCACTGAGTGCCGAGGGGTCTATAATAAGAAGAAACTCCACAGTGGAGCATGTAAAGCAGGGATCCACCAATCATTAGTAGAAGTTAACCTCTCGTCGAAAATTGTTTCGGCCCACAAGCTCCTAGACATTCTCAGAGAGTGGGCCCACCTGAGTTCATGAAGCTCAGGGTTGGTTTCCCTGCTGCACGAATTACCGGATGTTGTTCGGTTAGGGACAAGACGAATCGGTGATTTTGCAGAAGGTACTGTGAGATAAGAAGTCGTAGCGGTAGCATAATTAAAGCAGTCTGCATACCTGGACGACCGAGCGGCAAGCTTACGATTGGTATACCGGATACATGTTGGACTTTGTTAGCAGGTGGCAGAGGGACACTGGCAGACAATTCAGACACGATGGACTTCAAGGAATGAGAAATTCTTTTCCGCTAGTCACCCGGACCAGCTCACCGAGGCCCGTCCCCTACGTTGTTTCGTTGTGTCCAGAGCCGGCTCGAGGCCCTCTCAGCAACCTCGCCCAGCTGTTTAAGTGTCCGCTTGCGTTCATTACCACGTAATCCTAGTTCTGTACTCACATTGTATAGTGAAGTGGAAACGAGACCTCTCGCTCCCAGTTCGACGGCAAAGACTCGTACTGTGTACGCTTCGTCTCTCATTAGACCGGCTGCTAGGTCACTGTATTTCTCGAGCTTATACATATGGCTTTCGTCCATTCAAGACTCATACGGGACGGTCAGCTCAATCAGGGTGAGCTGCCGTTTCTCCGCAGAGTGGAGAACTATGTCGGATCGCAGGCCGGTCTTCCGAATTGACTCAGGGTACCTTTCATGGCCAGGCAGATCAATCGTCAGTAACCAGTCCCTCGCAGAGTCTAGCATAGATGGAGCGAATGCGCCTTTGTTGATATTACATTTTTGAATCTGCCCAGCCTTGAGGAAGCGCATGGGGACGACGGTAGGACTGGCCCTCGCATTGGCCCGCATCCTAGCCTGGTCCACAACAGCTGCCAACTCTTTTAGCTCCTTGTTGTATAAAATATAGGTCTAGCCATATGTGCCCAATACACCTGACGGCGTGCAGAAAAGTCCTTACCTGTATTTTTTTTTAACGCTTAGGACGCATTTAGCGCATGACGTGAGATCAAATTGTGTATATATCAATAAATGTTTGGGATAAGGATGTAACTTCACAATGAATCACCTTTACTTCCCATGATTTATCCATTTTTGGCTGGATCCCCTTAGAAGCCAGGGTAATTCTTGTCAGGGATTCTTCACCGAAGCTTTCGGGTCGCGAAAAAATTGTCTAGCTGCTTACATAGCAGATATAAAAGTTATTAGATAAGTTCTCCAACACAGTCACTCTTAGAATAAGCACTTGTATTATAGTTAATTTTGTTTCCACAGCAATGAAAAACACAAACGACATTCAGGCTGAAAAGGATGGCCGGGTGAACCATGTTGGGAGTGTCTACTACAATCACGTTTCAGGATGCAGTGAAACAGCCATCAGATTTGACGACCTTGATCATTTCTTGAGTACACATGGAAGGGAGTTCTTTCAGAAACAGTTTAACGTAAGACACTTGTACACTCTTTGACTTTTGCATGAATATTTTGCAGTCTGTTGACTACATCCCTTTAAATGTTTAGTGTCTGTTAACATTACATTTTTGAACTTTTGCGTCTTCTTCTTTCGTCCTCCCCCCCCCCCCCCCAAACCACCTCCCCCCATTTTTTTCAATAAAGCATAGGCCATAACCTACTCAACGCCAAGTGGTCCTGTTATTTGCCCTTCCATGAAGCTAACCTTATGTCCCTTCTGTATTTGTTAACTGTATTCTTTATCTCCCTTCTCCGTTATTTTGTGTGTGTGTGTGTGTGTGTGTGTGTGTTTGTGTGTGTGTCTGGCATAATTTTTATTTTTCTGTGGGTTCCAGTGCAAATACATTCTAATTATATTTTTCTTTAGTTTTCTCAGTGTGTGTCCTGTTCAACATCCGCGCCATTTCTTCACCTCTTAATTCACTAGAGTTAATTTAGTTCTTTTCCAAAATTGCTGATTAAAAATTATGTCAGACATTTTAATTTCTGTCGTTTTATACAGGCATCAGTTAATGAATTGTTGTAGTTTATCAGTTGACAATAAAATTCCACTTTATGGTTTCATAGTTCGTTTCGAGAAGTGGTCTCCAATACTTTTTATTTCCTGATATGACAAGATCCCCCACACCCCTCTCTCTCTCCCCAGCATAGCAAAATGTGAATAAAAAGAAGACAAATGAAATATCACAAGCACTATAAAAGAGAACTAGGAGAAAAACATCTACATAAGTCAAATAACAATCGAAATATTAATGAACAATTGGAAATTTAGTGTCTATATATCAATAATGACACGGTTTTATCTTGATGATGTCTTTTATAACTTTTTTTTTTTTGGGGGGGGGGGGGGGGGTCTAATGTTGGAGCAGGAACAACGGAGATCACTCTTCAGGTCAGTCTGACAGCGCTGTTTTCTTTTCATGTGTATTAAAGCTGAAATTCCTTATTATTACATGTACACATACACATACATTAAAAATTGTTTTATTCCCCCTACCCCCCCCCCCCATCCCCACCCCACACAAAAAGCACTCCGCTCCCCCCCCCCCCTTTCCACAGTTTTAAGACCACCAGTTTAGAGTCTGATGGTAACAGAATATATTTGTAATGTATGGAGGAAACAGTGCCATTCTTGAAGACAACATAACCATTCCGTATCTGCTGAATCACAATCGGGTATGTTTGGATGTGGAGTTACAGTAGCGGTCTCGTGTGGTATCTATGCTTGGATTTTGAAAACAAGTAATGATGGATAACTCTGCAAAACGGTCTTCCTAGAGATATTACTCTGATCTCTAGTCATGAAATATTTATCATCTTTACCGTGTTTATAACCTTAATATCTTTCTATAGCACTTCAGCTTAAAAGCCTCATATTTGTTTCATTTAATGATTGCGGGATAGTCTGCTACTCAATCCGTGTGCTGCTACAGGGGAGATGCATGCTCTCAAAGTGGTTAGTTTTGATTTCCTTGCGTGTGCTTAACTACAGATCATTAAGGTCTGAAGCGAATGGCGCTACTGGGAGTTACCAAGAGATCTGGCTGATGCTGAGCACTCAGGGAAAGAACGAGACGAATATGCAATCAGACAGTTACTTGTGCCATCGAAGTTGGAACTATTTGCATGCTGCTGAAGATGGGGACAGAGCGCTAATGGGAGTGTCCCAAGTGATGTGATCTCGATTCCTAATTCAATATTCAACCGCAGGCGTATAATAATGTTTAATATTTTCATTGCTATAGCCATCCTCTTTTTCATTACTGTTGAAATGTCTCCACCGTTTGTAATATGAAGCCTAGATATTCGAAGTTTGCAACATTTCAATTTTGTCATCATTTGTTTTGTGTGTCAACATGTTATAAACATTGGTGACACTTTTATAATTGGATGTATTTTTTTGTATCACTAAAGAGTATCCTAGCAAACAGCAGCGCATCTACAAAAGCAGCCATGAGCCCAGAAAATGTGAATAAAAACAGATACAAGAATATCAGTGCTTGTGAGTTCAAGAGGCTTGTGTTGTACAGTGTGTGAGATCATTGATAATATTATATAGATTTATGATATTTGTTTAAATATTAACATACATCTAGTTTGCATTTAGCCTTAGTTTCGGTATAGCATTAAAAGGACGCCGATTTGAAGCAAAACAAATTGCATGCTTCTAGTTTTGAGTAATGGAGCAGAAAATAAATCGAATGGGTGACGCTGGCCATTCACTCCCAGGTCGTCATTTCTAGCACTAGTCTCTCATGAGTTGCGGATTTTACATTGTATGCTGGATATGTTATCAAAATAATCATCAGGCATTCGTGCACAATTGAATTTATTTCTAAACAATCTCCACGACTGTATCAATTACCGTCTATATATTTTTAGGGGTACAAATATTAATAATAAAACAAATATCTAAGAAATTCGCCGCATTAAGAAAATAGCAGTACGTGTGCAAATGTAAAAAAATATAATCATAAAGACATGGGAGATCTAAGGCCACATGCAAAAATTCGTATTGATCCGTACACGATTGTTTGAGATATTTCTTAAAGACTTCCGGTTAAAATGGACGCTAGACAGCGGCGCTGTTCGAAGCAGAGGCAAATTTTTTGCTTCTGCCGGACGGTGGCCGAAGTATTTTTGCTCCATTTGTAGACTGGATATAGGTTCGTCGCCCAGCTTCTGAGTTGAATGCATGGCGTGACCCTGTGAGCTGCGGATTGCATTTGGAATGTTTTTTCGACTGTGACCAACGTGGTGTGAATTGGAGATTCAGAAAATGGCGTGATGCCAGTCGTCAATGTTGGCGGTGCCCGGATGTGATTACAATTGATCGCGTGGGCAACTGCTGATCTGTTGGCAACAAGTTCTGCTATCATCAATGATGAACTGAATTTCTAATGTTTTACTGTTTGTGCTAGCACTTCCGATGGCTACCGTATGCTTTAATGCGAGTGTATGCTAGATTTGCTGAGACAGCAGTCTGTCAATCTTTCCACAAGGGACTGTGATAAACATTCTGAGTGTTTTTTCGTTGGCACAGGAGCGGAGCAAAGATGGGGCGACCCGTTTGCTATGAAGCTGAAACTAAGACTACCAGACTACCAGACTACCAGATATTTCTTAAAGTAAGATAGCATGAGCTTGGAAACGCACTATAGTGTTAAATTTTGTTTTGTGTTGGTTAAAGCCAAAGCAACGATAGTGTACGGCTGAAAACAAACGATAGATTAAGCTCCAGTTCATCATTTGTCTAGAGTAATTTGTAAAATATAGCTCTCAATAATGATCTCAGACGGGATTGCTGCTTTACAACTTGGGATAAAACTATTACAGCTGCGAGATTTATGTGAAGCGTGTGTGTATATGTATGTGTGTTAGTGTGTGCGTATGTCGGAAAATCACTTCTGGAAAACTTGGAGGAAAGCTAAAACGTAAGTTGATCAGAGTAGTACAGCTGATTTATAACTGATTGTCGCAGAAACAGGGCAACTGGCTAACGCGCGCAAGCGCGCGCGAGAGAGAGAAAGAGAGAAAAAAAAAAAAGAGAGAGAGAGAGAGAGAGAGAGAGAGAGAGAGAGAGAGAGAGAGAGAGAGAGAGAGAGAGAGATGTTAAATAACTGATGTGGCAGGAAAGTTTTGCATGGGAAACGAAACTGGAAAATAAGTAAAAGAATAAACAAACAATCTTTTAGATATTTACAATGTCCAGACCAATGAAAAACGAACTAGAACACCGTGAAGCTGGCACCCCACTTATGTAATATTTACTCAGTGTAGTCATACAGGCCACTAGACAGATCTGTGGAAAGAGAGACGGAGGAGACAGTGCAAGAACATTTTTGACAGCTTTTTGTCATGTCATGGCGAGTTGTCAAAATCCGAAAAGTTGCAGATCGCAGAATGTGAAGAGGCATGACGGCCTACGCCAGTCGGTAAGTCACTAGATGATGATAACCAGTCACATAGCACAGTCTGCTATACAGGTAAAACAGTCTAGTTGAACGAAGTCATTCGGCATTATGAAGCTCGTTCACAACGCCTAAGCCACAGACGCCGAAATTTACACAATACATATCTTTATTTTCAGACGACCATTCACGT